CATCCTGGAGCAGCAGATCGCCAACAATGACATACCCTTGTCTGTGCGGTACCTTAGTAGCAGAATGGGGTTTAGGGTTTAGGGTTTAGGGTTTAGGGTTTAGGGTTTAGGGTTTAGGGTTTAGGGTTTAGGGTTTAGGGTTTAGGGTTTAGGGTTTAGGGTTTAGGGTACACTTTACTACCATTTGCTTAAGAACCCCAAAAGAATGAAAAGCAATAATCCCTACATCACCCTGAAGAAGGATGATTTTTTTGGGGGGCGTTCTTAAGACGTTCGTAGTTTGCACTTTTTGGGATACTGCACTCCTCTGTAGAACTGAAAGTGTACACTTTTGTGGGGCTTATGAACTTAGCAACTAAGGTACCTGACGACGGCCTCGAAGGAAAGAGAGATCTGGGAAGGCTTTGCTTCAAAGCGGGACATTCTTTTCCAGCACGATTATCCCGCACTGGGTTCCTAGAGTGCACCAGCTCCTTTGCAGCTGCTTTGATCAAGCTGAAGCGTCGTTTTGCTTTGCCCCTGATTCCGTGCCAGCTCGAAGGTATTGACGGCGTCCCTACTTCCAACTTTGTCCCAATCCAGTTTGCGCCGAGAAAGCGCTTGGGCCGGACACAATCATTGTGAATTGAATCTTCTGCTGGTGCAATCTCAAAGTTTCAAAGCAGAAGCTCAAAATCAGCTTGGTTGGTCAGAAATCGAGCACATACTGCTGTAGAAGGTCAGTGAGCATTTTATAAGAAAAAAGCCACATGGTCAGTTCTCAAAATTATGGCCCCTTTTTGGGTACCCTAAATGATAGGGGGCTGCCTTACAATAGTAGCCCAAAAACAGACCCTAATTTAGAGCCGCAGAGCACGACTAAGACCCGAAATAGGCCCTCTAGGTTCCCTTGTAAGCCCCCTTAAAGCCAAAAGGGCACCCCTTTTTATTCCTAGGGTACTCTTGGGTCACCCTAAACCCTAAACCCTTAACCCTTAACCGTTAAACCCTAAACCCTCAACCCTGAACCCAAAACCCAAAACCCTAAACCTTATCTAAGTTCTAAAGATATGTGTTAGTCCACACATCAAAAGTAGGACGACAGCAAAACGACGGAGGGACGACGGTGGGACGACGGAGGGACGATGGTGGGACGACGGAGGGACGACGGCAAGACGACGGCAGGATGACAGGGGGACGACGGCAGGACGACGGTGGGACGACGGGGGGACGACGGCTTTCGCGCCGTCGTCGCGCCGTCGTCTCGTCGTCGTCGCGCCGTCATAAGGCCTAGTTTAAGCCCAAACTAGGCCTTATTTCCCGTCATAAGGCCTAGTTTAAGCCCAAACTAGGCCTTATGACGGCGGGACGACGGCAGGACGACAGTGGGACGACGGCGCGACGACGGCGCGACGACGGCGCGACGACGACGCGACGACGGCGCGACGACGGCGCGACAGCCGTCGTCCCCCCGTCGTCGCGCCATCGCACCCTGTCGTCGCGCCGTCGTCACCCCGTCGTCGCGCCGTCGTCACCCCGTCGTCACGCAGTCGTCACCCCATCGTCGCCCCGTCAAAGCCCTGACGTCTAGACCCCTCTAGCTGGACTAGAAACCATACCCCACATATCTCTAGAACTTAGATAACCTAAACCCTAAACCCTAAACCCGAACGAGGTATGGCTGCAACTTTACCGAGACCGGGTTTCCGACCGGAGGCTTCAGCTGCCGCCTTGAGGGAGAGCCCCTGATGGTCGTGGCGGGGAGTTTGCGAAATTGGTTACCCCAAACCCTCAACCCTCAACCCTAAACCCTATAAACCCTAAACCCTAAACCCGCCAAATAGTAAGACTCCCTTATAATAAGGACCCTAATAAGGTACCCCTAACTTCGGCAACGTCCAGGTGTCGCCAGCCTTGACGGCCTCCGCCGATGCGGCGCCTGGGCTCAAAAAAAGCTCCGAAACAGGTTTAGGGCTTAGGGCTTAGGGTTTCGGGGTTTAGGGGTTTAGGGTTTAGGGTTTAGGGCTGGAGCGGAAGCCAGGGGCCGAAGCCCTGAAGAAGATGTGGTTGAACAGCCCAAACTCCCAAACCACTTGCAACCGTAAGGCCCTTGTAGATGGCTCCGCGTCTGAACTAGGGTTTAGGGTTTAGGGTTTAGGGTTTAGGGTTTAGGGTTTCCGTCCGTTTGGGCCTGCTGGGCTTGGACATGTAAGGTCTGAGGGGCAGAGCTTTCAAATAAAGACCATGTACATATACACTCAGTGGCTGAGAGAGTACACCTTACACTTTTTGGGAGACGATAACCCCCTATACACTTTCTTGTGGGGGTATTATGAACTCAGCAACGAAGACTATGATCTCTCTCTCGTGCTCTCCCGAATGTTATTCCTTTCAGATGTACCGTTTCAGGGCATTGTTTGGAAACCCCAGGCTAGGCAAATATTCCCCCCCATGGCCCAATGTCAAGCCCAGGGAGTTCTGACCCTTTCCCAAAGCCCAATGTAGCTTAATGAAGGACATATACCTTAAATCATATGAAGGATCCCTATGTGACTTAAGGAATATTCCTTATTGAAACAATATTGGGCTCTTTGGGTTCCTGTGGCCCTGCAGGCGAACTTTGCCAGCACATTCAGCTTGGATGACTCCGACTACGAGGGTCTCTTCCAAGCATGGCGAGACTAGGATGCCCAGAAGTGCCCTTATTCACTTATTCCCTTTTTGGGGGCTCTAGGTTCCCCTATAAACCCCTTTAAGGAAAAAAGGGCACCCTTTTTAAGCCTAGGTTACTGGGCAACCTAGGAGATGCGTCCGGCGATGCCAAGGCTGCCGCTTGCAGGTGGGATGTAGAGTCGTAGAGCGTTCGAGTCCGTGTCGGTCAGGGAAAGTTTCCCCAACTAGAATAGAATCCCCTTCTAGGGATGCCCAAAAGGGTACCCCTCTTGTCTGGAAATTTCCATTTGGTGATTTGGGGTGTTCTTGCTGTCTGACGCCTGAGGTTTTGGAGTGCTGGCCCAAGGTTTTTCAGGTTCGGGCCAGGGGTGTCCGCGGAACTAGTGGGTTTACTAGCGTATTGCAACAGAGGGGTTTGCGAGAAACGGGACGTGGGGCTTTGCTTCCTGAACCCAAAACCCACATCCCGTTAGAACCGTTGGGTGCTGAGTAGCCTACTGCAAGGTGGCTTCAGAGTGAGGGCACCTCCCGATGGGGTGGCTGGATCAAGTTCAGCAAGCAGATCAGCATGATTGAGGAGTTTCCCCCCACGAACGGCTGCTTTCCGGTGATGTACTTCTTCTTGGTGCTGACGCTTGCCATTCACAGCTTTTTGCTTGCCTGCGGACACTGTGTTGCTTGTTATCCACTGCGAGTGCCCTGGAAAGGGCCAGTGCAATCCAGCATGCGAGCTAAGCAATTGAGAATCGGAAAGGTAGGTTTTGAACCCTAAACCCTAAAACCCTAAAACCCTAAAACCCTGAACCTAAAACCCCTACTTTGTGTCCGCAAGGGTCGGAAGCAAGCTGTGCAACCACTGCTTCAACGCACCTTTCGCTGACTGGCCAAGGACAGTGGGAACCGCCTTTATCTTCGACCTGCCGAAGCTCATGAAGTGGTTGCGCAGCAACGTGCGTTGTAACTAGGATGCCCAGTAGTACCCTTATTCCCTTTTTGGGGGGGTTTAGGTTCCCTTATCAACCTCTTTAAGCAAAAACGGGGCGCCCGTTTTAAGCCTAGGTTACTGGGCAGCCTAGGTAAGAAGACGCCGGCCATTCCACTCAATTCCCTCGCGCCAAGCTTTGTGTCTGAGATTGACCTGTCTGACATCGACACAGGGGACGATTTCACGACCAAGCTAGTCCATACCGAGTTCGTGGCGGTGAAGATGGCACCTTAGTAGGGTTTAGGGTTGAGGTTTTAGGGTGAGCTGAATGAGTACGCTTTACACTTTTTGGGATACTCCAATCCCCCTATAGATCTGAAAGTGTACACTTGTAGGGGCTGATGAGCTCCCTAAACCCTAAACCCTAAACCCTAAACTCTAAACCCTAAACCCTAAACTCTAAACCCCAAACTCAGCAACTAAGGCACTTCTAAAAGGCAAGCTGGGCTTCGCAACACATCGCAGGGATGAGGAGGATTTCTGCAAGGCGAATGGTTTAGAGTTTAGGGTTTAGGGTGGGTTTAGGGTTTAGGGTTTAGGGTTCAGAGTTTAGGGTTTAGGGTTTAGGGATGATTTCGTCCAGGCGAATGGTGAGTCAAAAAGGCACCCCGCGCCTGCTATGTCGCCCTTCCGTCAGATTTACAATACGCCCATGGAGGCAGGCATGTGCCCAAATTGCTTTCGCTGTAGTGGAGAAACCGCTTCAATTCGCCGGGATACCGCAGATAACCCTAAACCTAAACCCTAAACCCTAAACCCTAAACACTAACCCCTAAACCCCAAAACCCTAAACCCCTAAACCCCTAAACCCCTAAACCCCCTAAACCCCCTAAACCCCCTAAACCCCCTAAACCCCTAAACCCTAAAGGTACTGGTCTACATCATGACATCGGGTCTGATGCGGACGGCCTTCAGCGCCCTGACCCTCGGATGCCCAGCAGTACCCTTGTTCCCTTTTTGGTAGGTTTAGGCTCCCTTATACACCCCTTTAAGCAAAAAAGGGCACCCTTTTTCATCCCCCCCTAACCCTAAACCCTAAACCCTAAACCCTAAACCCCTTTCAGCAAAAAAGGGCAACCTAGGACCTTTGCGTGCGCTAGCGGCATGGTCGGGGCTCTGCTGGCGGAGGTGAGGGCGACCATCGCAACTAGGCCCTTGTTTGGACCTTTTGTTTATATGTTTAGGGTTTAGGGTGTAGGGTTTAGGGTTTAGGGTTAGTGGCTAAAGAGGATCATTACTCAGGAACATTTTTCAGAGGGTCTTAAGGCCATCCTAGGCAAAGAACAAGCAGATTGACCCGACTCTTCAGTTCGAAGACTGGTATACGTTGCTCTTGATGAACCTGCAGACAGTGGCAGGAATCATGGATGACTTCAAGTTCCTTGGGAGCCCAGTGGTACCCTTTACCTTTTTTTTGGTTATGGGTTCCCTTATAAAATGGACGACCAAAAAAAGCGTGCCCTTATTATAATGTGATTTTTTGGGCTACCCAGGTTCTTGCCAACATTCTTCATCACATACATGATCGGACAGGATGTAGCGCGTTGGATCAAGTGGCTCGATATGATGTGACTTAGCCGCATCGTCTTCGCACATGAGTGCTTCTGTGCCGTTGCTTGAGGTAAAAGAAGTGCCATGCAAATATAGGGTTGAGGGCTTAGGGTAGAGGGTGTAGGGTATACTCAGCACTGGCACCGGTAGCCAGGTGCGCCAACCCTACTCCGTTTAATCCAAGCTTGTGCAGTCCCAGGCTCACCATCCAGGGGCGGGTGCATGACACGACCCTCGTGGTAGCCAGCTCCTACAGGAAGCTGAACGACCCGGGGGTCGGTAAGCAGCAGAGGCAGATGCTCTTCAAGTGGTACAGGTATCTCAACGCCATACACTACTTGGCTTATTTCGGCCTCGATCCCCGAATGGGATCAGAGCCAGAGCATGTTGTGCAGAACCTTCAAACCCTCGGGTTGCTTGTGGACAGTGAGTGCGAACAGCTACTCTTGGCCAAACTAAAGATTCGGGATACTCTGGTGTCATGGCTTCTTTGTCATGCTTGGGTACCCTTTTACATTTTTAAGGGTACTTAAACCCAGTAAGGAATATAAATTTAAACTTTTTAGTATTATCCCAACCATGAACTAGGCTTGGTATCATGTGGCACGACGACTTAGAGCGCGGCTGGGTGCAGTCGACAGACACGAAGGCTACATCCCCCTTGGGTTTTTTTTAAATCTATTATTTTGTTCTTATAGAACCCAAGAGGATATTAAAAACAAAATTTTATTCAGGTTGAAAGGGGAGTATACCTTAAATCATATTAAGGGTCCCTACATAATTTAGGGTCTCTTCCTTCCTTAATGAAGGGATATAAAGGGCTCTTTGGGAAGGTTGTCATGGAGAAGATCTGCGGCCTGCGCGGCGCCATGGCGTCCCTTCAAGACATGCCGGATCTGCGAACGCGAGCTCCTCAGCATGTTGCCACACTTGCTGTGTGTTTTCCAGGATGCTGCTTGCAAGAAATGCTTATGTTCACCGCAGGAGCCAGCTGGTTCGGGTCATGATGGTGGTGGTAACGAACGTCTTGCTTGCGCTGGCTCTGGTGGGTTACCCAACGAAGATGTACGAAGACACCGACCAGTGCTTTCAGTTTTGGCCGTTGGTCGCTTCCTATCTCTACTACGCGTGTTACAGAGGCATGCTCCATGTCATGTTCTTGTTGGACAAAGGGCCTTTCTATGGGAAAGGGGACTGCGTCAACGTGGATGCTCTTCTCGTCAGCTCAGAACGCTTTACCTTCCACGTGTTCCGCACCTCCTTCAAGACGCTGCCATCTGACGTCAAATGCGTCCAAGAGCCCGAAGTCAGTGGCGTCAAAGGCGTCCAGAAGCCAGATGTCCAAGAGCCAGATGTCCCAGAGCCTGCTTGGACGCCTGATGAAAGGAGCGACGCCAGTCGCCCCCAAGGGCGTGACAGGCAATCCCTTGAGATCTGACTTTCGGCATCCGCCAAAGAATCGTGCTTAGCATCATAGAGACGGGAGCACGAGAATAGTGTCAGGGTTACCATGATGTAGCCTCAGTTCATGTTGGACTGGTCCTGTATGCTAAGAGTACACTATTCGCTACACGTAGGGTCTTAATACTTGCAAGCGCAGAAGGACACCCCATACGAACGCGAGCACTTTGCCAATAACAGGAACATAAACTCTGTTCCATATAGCATGCTCAGCCCGCTGACGAGTCACGAGGGCCTTTTCATGCTGACATTCGAGAATGCAACACGGAAGATACGCGACGAAGTCTGGCCCGCCAATTTTCAGTGTCCTGTCGTCTACAACGTACAATACACAAGTGTACTTCGCGACTTATACAGCATGATGAAGTACATTCTGAAGTATCCCTAAACCCTGAACCCTAAACCCTAAACCCTAAACCCTAAACCCTGTGTTATATGTGGACGACTACCTACCGGGGCACGGCTGAAAGCCGAAGGCTTTCAGCCTGGCATCGGCCTTATGAGCAGGCCAAAGGCCTGCAGCCTGCAACAGCCATGGAGCCGAAGGCCCATGACGGTTGCTAAAAACCCCACGCTGTGTAGGTTAGGGTTTAGGGTTTAGGGTTGAGGGTTGAGGGTTGAGGGTTGAGGGTGCCCACCCTAGCTGCTATATAGATCGGTACCGGGAAGGGGTAAACGCCCGTTGAATGATGCAGCACTGAGTGTAATTTTGTGTAGCCCAGATGTCCAGCTCGGTCTAAAGGGATGATGCCAGGAACACGCGTGGGAATGAGTACTTCCGAGCATTCACGTCGGCAGCGCTTTCAACCTAGGATGCCCAGTAGTACCCTTATTCCCCTTTTTGGTAGGTTTGGGTTCTCTTAGAAAACCCCCTTTAAGCAAAAAAAAGGGCACGCTTTTTCATCCTAGGTGACTGGGCAACCTAACTATCCAAGTCCTAGATGTCAAAGTTCTTCTGTTGGATGGGCTAATCCGGAAGCCCTACACATTGTACATGTGTAAAGTTGTCCGGCAATGTGGCATAGCACACATGTGATTTTCCATGTGGTGTGTGGTGTACATGTTTGCTCAAACTGTCAGACAGTTGAGACCGACACCGCAGGCGCTGTGTGTGAGCTGCAAAAGTGCATCTGGGAAAGTTGATCTACTGCCCTCACCCAGTGGGACAGCAGTACGCCGCTGGCCTAATAGGCTGAAATCCTAGCCCTAAACCGCCTAAACCCTAAACCCTATGAGCTGTCAGCCCTAGAAATCTTCTACGAAATCTTCGACTGCTGGTTTAGGGCTTCGGGGAAGTGAGTGGTCGACGAGCAAGGTTGGGCCCATGAGGCTGTCATGTGCTTTAGGGTTTAGGGTTTAGAGCTTAGAGTTTAGAGTTTAGAGTTTAGGGTTTAGGGTTTAGGGTTTAGGGTTTAGGTGGTTTGGGGTTAGGGTTTAGAGTTTAGGGTTTAGGGTGTAGGGTTTAGGGTTTAGGGTTTAGGGATAGCAAGTATCCGGAATTACCTGTCTGAAAAACGGCAGGAGGGTTCCCACATCAGGCAGCTGCAAGACGGGGATGAGCGAAGTAGGTGACTGATTTTGTTGCCGGTGGTTTCTCTCCTTAACCCAAAGAGCCCAAGATTGCTTAATTAAGGAATGTGCCTTAAATCATATAGGGATCCTTGATATGAGTTAAGGAATGTTCCTTAATTAAGCAATATTGGGCTTCTTTCCGCGCTTTTCCTGCCATTGCTTCAAGATGCTTCAAGCTTTGTAGCTGCCGAAGGATGTGGGCAAGGAGGTAGCTTTTTCATCTCAGGTGACACTGGAGTGAGAGCTGTCCAGTACAGAGGGTATAACCCCTAAGCCCTATTAGCCCATGTTCAAACTCTACGTTTTGAGGCGCACATGCGCTCTGAACCCACAAGGTGAGCACCGCTTGGGGGTTTCAGGGTGCAGGGTTCCCCTAAACCCTAAACCCTAAACCCTAAACCCTAAACCCTAAACCCTAAGCCCTAAATATCCCTAAACCCTAAACTTTGGGGTGTCGGGGTCGGCTGCCATGACGAGAAGCTGGGATCATGGACACGCGCCGAGCAGGCACGACTTGGGGCACAGTGTGCGTCAGCTCTCTTAAGGTTTAGGGTTTAGGGTTTAGGGTTTAGGGTTTAGGGTTTAGGGTTTAGGGTTTAGGGTTTTTGCGGGGGCTCCTCCCGCAACATTCCGTGGGCGCCGCCAAGCGAGATCCTGATATGTTGCGCTGAAAAGCCGGTGAACCCTAAACACCTTGAAAACATCCCAGTGCCTCAGCAGCTGCATGGTTTCAGAGTCGAGTTCGGCTTGTGAGTCTGCAGGTCTGCTGCTGTTGATCCTGTTTGGGATCGCTGGCTTGGCATGGAGCTTCGCACGAAGCGGTGGACAGGTTTCAGGGTTTAAGGTCGGGGGCTTAGGGTTTGGGGTTTAGGGTTTGGGGTCTACGAGTTAAAGGGTTGAAGTACTTCAGGCCAGCTCTTTACATTCGCGGTCCCTTCTTGATTTAGGGGGGGTATCTAAAAGATATGGTGAGTACACCTTTGGCATGAGGACCCCAGAAGAAGTACTTCTCTTTCATGATAGGGTCCCCAAAGAGCCCATTATTGCTTAATGAAGGAAGGTTCCTTAAATCATACTAAGGATCCCTATATGACTTACGGTATATTCCTTAATTAAGCAATACAGGGTTTAGGGTTTAGGGTTTAGGGTTAAGGGTTTAGGGTTCAGGGTTTAGGGTTTAGGGTTTAGGGTTTAGGGATCACCTCTGAATCCTAATCAGACGCCCAACCGTTGTCATTCCGCGGGTTCATAGGTTACAAAGGAACCTAACCCAGTTATGGATCTGTGCATCTACACTCAACCCTGCATCGCAAACCCCAAGGCCAGCTAAAGCTATTTCGTGGTAGGGCTTATTGTGCTTTTGTGTAGAATTCGCAATCATTCTTCGGTCCAGTTGCCTATCATCAAAGTCACGCGAAAATTTGCTTTTGCAATCGTTCATAAGCATTCGGGCGCATTCGGAGGCGTTCTGGCAACGTTCGCGAGGCGTGCGCGCCGCGTTCGAAGGCGTTTGGGCTGGCATCCGCGTCAATTCACGATCGGGTGCGACCGCAAGCGATGCGAACACGATTGCATGCGTTAGGAGGCGTTCGCCCCCAGGAATTCGGAACATGTTTCAAAGCTCTACTACCTCTTGGTAAACCATTCTGCCTCAGACCTCAAACCCCCCCCCTATAGTACCCGCGACTCTACCAAGGAACGCGCGGGTGAGCCGCGCCGTCGAGACGGCTCCTGCTCCAGTACAGGCCCTGAGAGGGTCCAAGAACAAGGTGTTCCGGACACAAGCTTGAACCCTAAACCCGACAGCCAAAACCCTAAACCCTAAATCCTAAACCCTAAACCCTAAACCCTAACCCTGAACCCTGTATAAACCCTAAGCCCTCAACCCGAAACCTATCGCCCTGCGGAGAGAAGCCTTTAACTCATTGATTTCGAAGATGGCTGACAAGAGTAAACCCCAAACCCTCTACACCCGGAATCGCAGAAAGTCCCAAAACCCTTGAAAGTTTAAGCCCTATACCCTACTGCACAACCCTGAACTCAACCCAAAACCCCCAAACCCTGAAGCCCGAGACAAAGCCTTAACCCCACAAATCCTAAACCCTAAACCCTAAACCCTAAACCCTAAACCCTAAACCCTACAAGCCCTAAACCCTAACCCACAAGCCCAAAAGCTCGCAACCGAAAGCTGGACCTTGCTAAAATTCGGCCTGTGCCAGGGGTCGCTCACAGAGCTGCAAGAGTGCCGAAGCTGCGGGTAGGGGTTTAGGGTTTAGAGGTGTTTAGAGGTGTTTAGAGGTGTTTAGAGGTGTTTAGAGGTGTTTAGGTGTTTAGGTGTTTAGGGTTTAGGGTTTAGGGTTTAGTGTTTAGGGTTTGGGGATTCGGGTTTAGGATTTAGGGTGCATTGGACAAGTGTTCCGGGTGGGGGCGGCGAGGAGACAGACAGGGAGGCTTCTGGTTCGTGCGCTTTGGGATGTGGAGCATGGTAACCGCAGGGTGTCAGGAGACGCTGCGACTGCCCTGTTTCGAGCATCGAGTTTGACTAGTCACCGTAAACCCTAAACCCTAAACCCTAAACCCTAAACCCTAAACTCTCCAGCAAGTTAAGGTCAAAGACAACTCCAGCTCAGCTTCGGCAAGGACAATCTGCCGGCTACGCGATGTGGCGGCAGCCATAAGACCTTATAGACTAGGATGCCCAGTAGTACCCTGATTCCCCTTTTTGGTAGGTTTAGGTTCTCTGATAAACCCCTTTAAGCAAAAAAAGGGCAGCCTTTTTCATCCTAGGTTACTGGGCAACCTAGTCATAACCCCGACCCTACACCCTAACTATCTCAACTAGCACTGAGTTTTGTTCTTCCCTCCAAGGATGAAGGGGATGTGGGGTATAGTGGCCCATCCTGGTCCTCAGCCGCCCTAAACCCTAAACCCTAAACCCTAAACCCTAAACCCTAAACCCTAAACCCTAAACCCTGCTTCCCTCGTGCACTAAGAACGCCTTGAGCGACGAGATGAAGCAGATCGTGGGTGAGCTCACAGCCGCTTCGCCAAGATGGGGCAGGGGAGGGTTTGGGGTTTAGGGTTTAGGGTTTTGGGTTTAGGGTTTAGGGTTTAGGGTTTAGTGGTTTAGGGTTTAGGGGGGGTACCCAGAGCCCAATAGCCCCTTCACTAAGGAATAGACCTGAAGACGTAGTAGCGGAATGAGTAGACTTTACGCTTTTTGAGATACTAATAATCCCCTTCTGAACTGAAAGTGTAAACTTTTTGGGGCTTATGAACTCAGCAACTAAGAATATGATTTAAGGTATATTCCTTTAGTTAAGGGGCGTAAACGGCTCTGAGGGTAGGACACCTTGCATCTTGCAGCGGGTGCCGGGCTGTCTGCCCAGGATCCCTGCGCTTTCCGCAGTTCCAAGGGATGAAATACTCGTACCCCTAAGGTTGTACCCCTGTAGGTTCCTCTTCATATACTCCTAGTATGGCCCTTATACCACCTTAAGGATCTTTCAAGAGGTTCCCCCAAAAACCCAAGGTACAACCTTAAGGGTCCAAGAATCCCCAGACAGTTGTCGTGTCGAAGCCTCAAAACCCTAAGCCCTAAACCGGAAACCCTAAACCCTAAACCCTAAACCCTAAACCCTAAACCCTAAACCCTAAACCCTAAACCCTAAACCCTAAACCCTAAACCCTAAACCTAACCCTAAACCCTAAACCCTAAACCCTAAACCCTAAACCCTAAACCCTAAACCCTAAACCCTAAACCCTAAACCCTAAACCCTAAACCCTAAACCCTAAGCCCTAAACCCTAAACCCTAAACCCTAAACCTCTCTCAGGATGTCGTGGTCCTCCGAACATGGGCGACACCTTCCTGGTAGCTTGGCCGGTCATGGGCCCACATGCGTCAGGTGCACTACAACATGGAACCCCTCCCTACATCCCAGAACCGAAGCCCTAAACCCTAAACCCTAAACCCTAAACCCTAAACCCTAAACCCTAAACCCTAAACCCTAAACCAGCATGAGCCCTCAGCCCTAAACCCCAAACCCCAGGATGAACTGGTGCCCTTCTCTTCGGCGCAACAACACGGACGTCACCCTTAGGATCCCAGGGTTTCGGCTTTAGGGTTTAGGGTTTAGGGTTTAGGGTTCTTGAAAGGAGGATGCACCCAGGGAACCCTAAACTGACCAGGAGATGTGGACCAAGAAATCAGACACCAGCAGAAGATGGGCAAGACTGATAAAGGAAGATTGGTGAGCTAACAACCCCTGACTGGGAAACCCTGCAATTTGAAGGGCCATGTTGCGGAATCGAAACCCTAAACCCTAAAGACTAAACGAAGTCCCGAAGGGAGATGGCTAGGAAACCGCGTGAACCTGGATTGGAGGAGGGGATGGAGGGTAGTATAGGGGTCGGAAGAATTGCTAATAGTATTCCCTTATCGCCCTTTATTAAATTCTAGAATAACCCCCCCAAAACCCTAGTCTCATTATTGAGGCCCCTGTAAACCTAGCCCTAAACCCTAAACCACCCTAAACCCTAAAATCATTACGGCCCCTATGTAAACCCTAAACCCTAAACCCTGAACCGGTATTGTAAAGCAGAGGTTGCATGCCGTGTCCGCGACGGCCAAAGACCACGCCTCCAAAGAGCTGCGAACACAGAAGCTGCGAGAATGAGCCATGGCTTGGGTTTAGGGTTTAGGGCTTGGGGCTTAAAATTCTGGGTTTAGGGTTTAGGGTTTAGGGCTAGGGGCTAGGGTTTAGGGTTTAGGGTTTAGGGGGCTTGTGTGTGTTTTAAGGAGCTTTGGCGGCCGGCATTTCGTGGTTTCGTAAGGGACATAAGGAGGGATCCCTAGATCCAAAATGATATTCCCCCATAAACGCCCCCCTACACCTTGCATACTCCCTTTAAGGTTTAGGGTTTAGGGTTCAGGTCCTTTGACGCTGCTGGCGCAGTGGGTGTTCGACGAGGGTTGCGTCTTGCACTCAGTCTTCGCCATCAGCAGCAGAGCCACGGTTTAGGGTTTCGGGTTTCGGGTTTCGGGTTTAGGCAGAGAAGAGACGGCGTGTCACAGTCATCGACATCGACATGCATTTTTCCCAAAATAGGGGTACCCCTCATGCAATACTCTCCAAAGGGTGCCACTTGTTTTGGGACACCCCTGCATAGCTCACATAGTTTCAAGCCTCAACGAATCACATTGCCTTAGTTTTTTTTCTATAACACTACTTATTGCGTCGTCTAATAATGTAACTGGAGACAATTCCGTTACACCTGGCATTTAGTTGCACAGCCTTTTGGACAAGAAAACCTTCGAAATAGAAAAGTTTGTTGGAGTTTCTCCCTTCACTTTTCTGCAGCAGCATTTACTAGTTTCATTCGCTTACCAAAAGGCCTTTGAGAAGTCTGTCATAGTGTTGGCAGGAGCTGCTTCTAGCCATAAACCCGGAACAAGCACTAAGCCTAAACCCCAAACCGGAAACCCAAACCCCAACCCTAACCCCAAACCCTAAACCCTGAACCCTAAACCCTAGCCCTAAATCCTAAACCCTGAACCCTAGAACGTCAGGTGGGTGACTTCACGTTCGCCATCGACATCGGCAGCTCGGCGATCTTCTGCTCAAGAGTCTTTGACATGTAGTTTTAAGGACAAAGTGGGTTTAGGGTTTAGGGTTTAGGGGTTAGGGATTGTGAAGCTGCAGCCATTAAGAGCGGGTTGCCCCTGTGCGTCTGGGAGCCAGAGGCAGTCTCATGGTGGCTGTGCTCAGCTTTCCAGGGTTGGCAAATGCAGGCTTTCACAGGTTATGACGCCCAAAGGCTTAAGCACGGCCCAGGATAAGGACTGTGTGAAATGCTTCGCGCTTCACTGTGCGACTTCGTGACGTTCCTGGCCAAGTGAGCTGGGAGGTTTGTAAGAGCTCTTGGTGCAGCGTCGAGCACGGGCGCGCCCTGATCCGGGGATTGTCCCAAATGCTGGCTAGCGCCGCGTAAGGGCTTCCTTTGGAGATGGGTTTGCGTAGCCGGCCCGTGCCGGGAGCCATTAAATAAGTAAGCTTTCTGGAGGACGGTGATGCCGGGAGACGTCTCAGGCAAGGCTTGGCTGCGACGGGCCAGGGGCCAAAAAGTGTATCGCAGGGTGCTGAGGAGGTTAACTTCAGCTACCGGTCTTTGCCCCGAGGGTGGGGCCAGGTGAGCGGGTCATCGGCAGAAGGAACACGTGCATGCAATGTGGCTGCAGTTCTGAGAGTCACTCTCCACTTGCAGTGCAGAGTGAGGGGGAGTGTGAAGCTGCAGCCATTAAGAGCGGGTTGCCCCCGTGCGTCTGGGAGCCAGAGGCAGTCTCATGGTGGCTGTGCTCAGCTTTCCAGGGTTGGTAAATGCAGGCTTTCACAAGGGATTAGGGTTTAGGGTTTAGGGTCAGTGGCACACGTCATGTGACGCGACGCAGTCAGGACGGTACAGGGACAGCAGGTAGGACAGTTGAGGACAACCAGTACAAGATTCAGGACAGTACAACAGGCGGGCAGGGAGGCTCAGGCGGCAAATGCACCGAAATGCCGCCACACTAAGCAGGCCAGGCAGGCTCAGGCGGGCAACTGTACCGAATGTCGTTTTAGTAAGCGGTCAGGGAGGCTCAGGCGGGCAACTGTACCGAAATGTTGCCATACTAAGCAGGCCAGGGACGCTCAGGCGGGTGGGGGTTTTTGACGTGACATGTTCATATATATATATATAGATATATGTATATATCTATATATATATATATATATTTCTCTCTCTTTCTGTGCTGTAGGCAATACAGCTACTGAACAATATAGTATTTGCTGAATAAACAACGGTACTTTGAGAAAAATTGCACGGCATCAATAAACACCGTGTAGGGAAATAAGTAAGCAAGTAGTACCTATCTGTCGACATACAAACAAACATGCATATTCTCCGCCCTTGCTCCATATTGGATACTCAATATGTCTCGCTAAGCTCCAAGTCTTTATAAACCCCCTAAACGCCTTCAACCTGCGCAAAACCCTATCTAAGCCCTAACCCTCAAACCCGAAACCGTAGCCCTAAACCCTAAAGCCTTCTTGAGAGACCCTAAACCCCTAAACCCCTAAACCCTAAACTCTAAACCCCTAAACCCTAAACCCCCTGAGCAGCCCTAAAAGGCATGAACATGGGATGGTTCACAGCCCTGGCCGCGGCCAGCGGCCTCCGTGTTTTGGCCGTGGAGCCACGGCAGTCGCCCCTGAGGTGCCCTGGTGAGGGTTTAGGGTTTAGGGTTTACGGTGTAGGGTTTAGGGAGTTTAGGGTTTAGGTTTTAGGGCCTTTAGGGTTTAGGGTTTAGGGTTGACAGTTCATAGGCTTTCGAGGCCGGGTAGATCTAGGGCTCGCGCTGAGCTCTTTACAGGGGGGTTTGGGAAAGGCGTGCTGCGATAGTTCCTGGAGTACTGGGGTCCTTAAGCACCCTTTGGCCAACCAGAGATATGTTGCCCGACCCGGGATTTCACGCGTTTAGGGTTTACCGGTTTTGTAGGGCTAGTCTTGCAAGGTCTGTTGGGTTTACACAAGATTCATCGTGTTCAGGGTGCCTTTAGGTCTTCAGGGTCCACAGAAGAACAGGTACATGGAGAAGACCGTCGCGCTGAGCCCCCGGTTGCACAAGGGTCGAGGGATTGAGGGATTCTGGCATATAGCTTATAGCTTACCTCAAGAAGCCCCAAAACCTACTTGTTTGGTGCGGTACCTGACCATCCTAGGATTTAGGGTTTGGGGTTTAGGGTTAGGTTTTTAGATCCTAAACCCTAAACCCTAAACTCCCAAACCCTAAACCTAAGTGGTTTCCGGCCCAAAGCATCGATGGCTTGTCTCTTAGGGATACTTGGAGACATGTTTGTTGCTTTTTGGTGTATTTTCAATTCCTAAGAAGCAGCGAAGATCATAGTTTTTGCCAGGGTTCCAAGTTCAGTATCTTGGTAGCCCAGTGGTACCCTTTACCCTTTTTTTGGTTCAAGGTTCCCTCAAGTAATCAACCCAAAAAGGGGTGCCCTAAACCCTAAACCCTAAACCCCAAACCCCAAACCCCAAACCCCAAACCCTAAACCCTTATCATCATATGGTTATTGGGCTACTAAGGTATGGTGTGCCTTAGCTGAGGAACGGCTGGCAGGGGCGTGTGGAGCTCCGGCACGGCGGATTAGCAGAGGCCTTGCAGGGTTTAGGGTTTAGGGTTTAAGGTTTAGGGTTTAGGGTTTAGGGTTTAGGGTTTAGGGTTTAGGGTTTAGGGTTTAGGGTTTAGGGTTTAGGGTTAGGGTTTAGGGTTTAGGGTTCAAGGTTTAGGGTTTTAGGGTTTTAGGGTTTTAGGGTTCAGGGTTGAGGGTACGGCTATTTTGGCTCAAGGCTTTATGGCTACGAGGCTCATACCTGAGCCAGGTTAGCACTTTATGCTTTCCCGCAACATGGCCTCTCCTGACAAACTTGCTTCCTGCCTGAGCTATGCGTTGCGAAGCTCGAAAGATGGGCATGATGGCAGCTTGTGAACAGATACGCTCAGCATTGGCGCTGGTGACCATTCGACAACCGATGTGAATCCCAATCGCATTGAGAACGTTTCTTTGCATGGGGCACCTCCTCAGAGGAAGCTTCTAGCTGCAAGCGTTGATTGCCAAACCGAAGTTGACGTTTTGACCCGACCCGCCTTCGAGTCCATCATGGCCAGCCTACAAAAATCGTATACAATCACCCTGCAGCAAATCGAGGGGCAGATGGCAGAGCAGGTGCAAACCATTGAGTTGCTAAGGAGACAAGTTCAACAACATGGTGAGCCAATCACAGCGGTGAGCCTTGCAGCAGTGGGTTTTGCAGCGCCTATGCTGGATGACATTCGCGTGGATCAAGAAACTAGCAATGCCCAACAACCTGCAACTGTGTGTGGTGCTGGCCCTAGTGTAAGTACACTGGAGATGATGCGACAAAGCCACACCAGGGAGAGACTGGCACTGAAGGAGCAAACGCGCAGTGAACGGTTGAGTATGCTCCAGCGGCTCCACGGACCCAATGACCAGCCTGGTTGCTTTTGGCATGTGTTGTGGCTCCTGTTTGGGTAGTACTTCTGCAAGACAGCCTGTGTGATGTGTATAAGAGATTTGGCATAGTCTTGCTGATTGATGTGGTTCCTCGCACTTGGCTCTACAGAGCAATGAGGCGCTTGTAAGGGCTCGGGGAAGAGGTGCAAGCCCAGAGTCGAACATCGATACCGGGAAACTTACCGCGGCTTACTGAAGCAGACCGGCGGCAAAAAAAAGGTTTAGGGTTTAAGGGTTTTAGAAATTTAGGGTTTTTGGGTTTTGGGGTTTTGGGGTTTTGGGGTCTTAAGGTTTTAGGGTTTTAGGGTTTTATGGTTTCAGGGTTTAGCTTTAGGGTTTAGGGTTTAGGGTCTAGGGAGTCTCGGGTTTACGGTTTGGGAGCGCGCCGTAGTCTGCAGACCTACCCACCCCAAGACCGCCCACTTACAACTCTCAAGGAGTTAAGACCTTTTGTTTTTTACAAAGCACCACATGAGTCAGCACTCGCGCCCTTTTGGGACCTCTACTACTTGGGGGTTTAGGGTTTAGGGTTTAGGGTTTAGGGTTTAGGGTTGAGGGGTTTACGAACATAAGGGACCCCCCCAGGACAGACCCCAAATAGTAGGATTCTTTCATTATAAGGACCCCAAGAAGGTATTCCTAACAAGTACGTGGACAAATGAGGGTGCAGGAGCTCGCAGGTCGAGCAAGGATTTCAGTCACGACCGCGTGCTTCCTGTTTAGGGTTTGGGTTCAGGGTGTTGGGTTGTGGGTTTAGGGTTTAGGGTTCTCCCAACATAGGCGACTGGCCAGCTCTACGTGGATGAGTCTCGCTGGTGGGAGACGAGGTAGGTTTGGCAAGCCAAAGCAAAGTTGGTCTGAAGCGTACACCGTGCCCAACACCCACGACCCGAGCCAAAACCCGAAACCCTAAACCCTAAACCCTAAACTCTTCTGAAGCACAGGTCCGCCTCTCGAGAAGGCGGTGAGGGCCGCAGTGCTGCGCAGGCGAGGGTTTAGGATTTAGGGTTTAGGGTTTAGGCATCAGGGTTTAGGGTTTAGGGTTTAGGGTGTAGTCTTTAATAAGGGTTGAGGGTCAAGGGAGTCAAACTCGGACCCCTAAGGATGTCTCCCAGTATTGCCCATTCCCTCACAGAGCAGCCTGCAAAAAGGGTTTAGGGTTTAAGGGTTTAGGGTTTAGGGTTTAAGGGTTAAGGGTTTAGGGTTTAGGGTTTAGGGTTTAGGGTTTAGGGTTTTGCAAAGCACCTTTTTTCGGGGCCCCATAGCATCCAAAGCCCAGAGTGCAACTTTTGGGGGTCCAAGGGAAAGTCAACTCTTTAAACCCTGAACTTTAAGCTCCCTAAACCCCAGAGACTCCAATATGCCTTAATTTTCTTAATTAAGGAATATACTTTAAATGATAGTAGGATCCCTAATATGATTTAAGGTATGTTCCTTAATTAAGGGATATTGGAGTCTTTGGGCCCTATATTTTAGGATGCCCAGTAGTACCCTTATTTCCTTTTGGTAGGTTTAGGTTCCCTTCTAAACCCCTTTAAGCAAAAAAGGGGCACCCTTGTTCATCCCAGGTTACTGGGCAACCTAGTATTCCGCTACACCCCAAGCCCCCGGATTTTGGGGACGTCTTGGGGTTGGGTAGCCGTGAAGCTCTTCCCCATGATGTAAGCATATTAGGCCTCGGCCCGTCTCGCAGGAAATCTGAGGTTAGGAGTACGTATCCCTTAACCCTGAACCCTAAACCCCAAACCCTAAACCCTAAACCCTAAAGTTGTTGGGGGGTAGCAGGGGGGGATTCTGTTCTCCTCAGAAGCCGGAAAACACCCAGACCCTGTGCAAGCTGCCCCCTGGCTCTCTAAGATCCTTCATGGATACCCAAAGGCTCCTATGTAGTACCTTTTTGGGGTAGTATACTCGAATCCCCTTTCAGTAACCCAAAAAGGAACTACGTTGGAGCCTTCAGGCATAGTTGTGAAGTGCCATTCACCTTTTGCAGTCCACTTACCCAGACTTATTTGTAGGGTTTAGGGTTTAGGGCTTAAGCTCGAGGATCCCAAAAAGACCCCCAAAATCCTTTCCCAGAGCTTCACGATGGTTTTGGGTTTTGGGTTAGGGTTTTCTGTTGATGTAGGGAGAACATTCCTTGAACGGGATATGGCAAGATCTGACCAGGACCCAGCGCAGGCCCTTGTCCCCGTTTTTAAGGTTTGGGTTCCAGTTCAAGCCTCTTTTAAACCAAAAACGCATGTTTATTGCTAGGTTACTCCTGGGCCACCCTAAACCTAAACCGTCAACCCGAAACTCTGGTACCAAGCAGGCACTGCGCCTAGATGACGCCGTGCCACCCGATTCGAAGGCGGGTTAGTCCGGCCTTCCACTTCGGCTTAGGGTTTACGGTTTCGGGTTTAGGGTTTATCGTTTAGGATTCCCAAGGCCAAAACCTTTCTTCCCCTCACTCCTCAAAGGTTGAACTTCCCCCCAAAAATGATGATGTAGCTTGTTGACATCTTGGGGGTTTAGGGTTTACGGTGTAGCGTCTTGTAAGCTCATAGTCAGAAGGATAGAGCTTACGTCCACACGCAAGTTTAGAACTCAGCCAAGTCTCCCTCCCCATGCGTGGGTTCGCGTGAGTTACGGGCTTCGCGCTCCCTGAGCCCTACACAACCTAAACCCCAAACCCTAAATCCTGAAGGAACCCCTCCCCCCCCCCCTCCCTTCAGGTTTTATGAGGCTTTTCGGCTCCGGGGCCGTGACAGGTACCTCACCCAAAGCTCCCAATCGTCCGCCCTCGTTGCGACATCAGGTGTGCTTGTTGAAGGCTGACTGCCGCGGGTGTGAAGCAGAGGCCCGCGCCGCCTTTGTTGTTGTGATTGTCACCATCAGTAGGCCCACATTCCGCAGGAGCCCAATACCCCTCAATGAAGGAATAGACCTCAAAACATATCAAGGATCCCTATGCAATTTATTTAAGGTATATTCCTCTCTCTGGGTTTATGATATTGACATATGATTCCCCACATGACTATGTGGGGCGCTTGTTTTGCTTGTCTTTTTTTATCTGTTTATCGTGTAATGTGTGATTATCTTATTATTCCGTTATCGTATTGACTCATTGTCCTAAAAAAGTCATTGATGTGTTATCCCTTGCTCTTATTGCTAACATGTTCAATTTGTTATTTTGTTGTCCGCGTATTATTTCAGTAATTAGGCCGTGTGATTATTACTTGTTACTATCACTGTCACTCTTGCTTGGCACGAGGCCTTTCGATCCGGCAAGGAGCTTCTGGCCGCTGGTGCAGTCCAGGCCGCCACAGGTTTGGGGTTTAGGGTTTCGGGTTTGGGTTTGGCGTTTAGGGTTTCGGGTTACGGGTTTCGGGTTTAGCCAAAGCAATGGCTTTGTTGCCCTGCAAATTCGGGGGAGGTATTAAGTTGCAGGTTGAAGGTTTGGGGTTACGCTTTTTCCCCTAAACCCACCCGAAACCCCGAACCTGATCCAGGTGGTGCAGATGGAGTACAACCACTCCCCTGTGGCTCAAGCGGCCCTCGAGACGCTGCAACAGCTGTCGCCCCGACCGTGGCAGTGCTCCTCGGAGAGAGCAAGGAATGAGGCTGGTGTTGCGGTTTAGGGTTTAGGGTTTCGGGTTTAGGGTTTAGGGTTTAGGGTTTTAGAATTTGGGGTTTGGGGTTTGGGTTTGGGTGGTGTGGGCTATCGCTTAGGGTTCAGTTCGGGTCTTCTTTTGTGCTGGATATCGGTTTGAGATCCTGCGGGCTGTTTGTCGCTTATCACTTCTGGGTTCCTCACTGCTCCTCAGTGCGGTGCACATGGCGTGGTTGGTTCCCCTAAACCCCGCAATCCTAAGCCCTTTGGGAGAAGCTCACTGTAGGAGCTCTTGTTCATCTCGGTCTCATGGAGTTGTTCGGGTATGTGCCGAGTCGTTTCTCCTGTGCTAGGGTTTAGGGTGCCCGAAATTTCCCAAAGCCGCGCTTGATTTGCCCGGGGGCGTTGCAGCGTGTCCACCATGCCATCTAGGCATGTCCAAAAACAGGGCTACCTCCTTATAGACCCCAAATAGACTAGTACCCCATTTTCGGAAACCCTAAACCTCAGCCCTAAACCCTAAACCCTAAACCCTAAACCCTAAACCCCCATCCGAGCGGCATGTGAAAGGCATTCTCCTCCCCGCCGGTCTCCGATGTGCTGGCGCGGACCTCTTGGATGCTGAGGGCGAAGCACTTCGCGAGATCTGGGACCCTGGGCTTAAAGCACCGGTGTAGGGTTAAAGGGTTTAGGGTTTAGTGTTTGGGGTGTAGGGTTTAAGGGTGTTTTGGTTTTGGGTTTTGGGTTTCCTCGGTGCTCATCCCGAAATGCGTGAGGGCCTTTCTCAGCACGCCAGATAGAAGGCCCCAGACTTCCGCGGGAACCCAAAAAGCCTAAACCCTAAACCCTAAACAACCCCCTGCGTCTGAGTTGTTCGGCCAACATCTCAAAATTTTCTCCTGAATTATTATCCTTAAATGTTTCCGAGTTCTTCATCATTATCATCATCACCACCATCATCATCATCGTACCAAATCATCATCTCCCTTCTCGGGCTTATCGGTCTCTGCCTGTATGCCGATCACGCCCCGAATGCTTTGTCATTCTGGTAATTAAGGATTGTTCCCTAAAATATTGCTCCCTGGTTTAGGGTTTAGGGTTTAGGGTTTAGGGTTTAGGGTTTAGGGTTTAGGGTTGTCGTTTCTGCGAAAGGGGAGGTTCTGGGTCTGCCATAGCAGGTGTGAGGCATTGACGAAACGGCTTCCGGGTGGGGACAATCAGGACTGGCTCCAGCGGGGGTTGAAGCTCTAGGTTTTGGATTTTCGGGGCTTTGGGCACTTTTTGGGGTACTATAACCCCCTATAAAACTGAAAGTGTACACTTTTTAGGGGCTTATGAACTCAGCAACTAAGAAACCCTAAACCCTAAACCCTAAATCCTAGCTTAGAGCAGTTTAGGGTTGAAAACGCGAGCTCAGCAGCCAAGGATTTCATCGTGGCCGGAGCTTCTCGGAATTTCTGAGTTCATGTTTCGCTGGCAAGGAGGTAAGGTTCGGGGCGAAGGTCTCCCGATGCTTTCAGGGCTCAGGGCTTAGGATTTAGGGTTTAGGGTTTAGGTTAGGGCCCCAAACGAAGCCTTAGAGTAACCCTGCCCCCAAAGCCGAGCTGTTGCGACAGCCTTTCTCAAGAGTCTGATCCTACACTCGAATGCCCGAAACCTTTAGGGTTTACGGTAAGGGTTGAGGGTTTGGGGTTAGGAACCCTAGATCCGAAATGTCTGGGTCTGCTGGCATGTGTCCCGCTGGATGCAGACTGTTTGCCATTGCATTTCATTGCTACGTAAGTCTCCCGAAGTTTTGGCCCTGCAGCGTGTCTGGTCTGCTTGGCGGGTGGAAAAAACAACCCTAACCCCTAAACCCTAAGCTTGAACCCGAAACCCTGAACCCTAAACCCTAAACCCTAAACCCTCAGTGGGCTCACAGCTTGGAGACAGACCCAGGTTTACGTGGACTGCCGGGCCGAAAAGTTGGTCCAGACAGCACCCGAGCAGGTGCATTTCGGGTTTTGGGGATTCACTTGCTTGCGGGGTTTGGGGTTCGGGGTTTAGGGGACCTTAGGGGACGTTCTAGCGTAGCTGAGTAGCTGAGTAGGTAACCTTTAACTGTTTGGGGTATGCATAACACCTTTTCGGGTCCAGGGTACTCAGGGTACTCAGCAGCTAGGTTGAAGGTTTGAATTTTGGACTTGGATCTTTTCTTGTTGCCGGGGTCCAAAGCTCGCGGCATGCATCCGTGTAGAAGGTGTAGTTCAGATGCTAGGTGTTTCACTTTCGAGGTTTGGTGCTTCGGGTATTTGACTTGCGTCGGCTTTCGAATATTCCTTTAAAGACCACCAACCCACCCCCGCCACAACCATCACAGGCGTGCGGGCCTCAGATTGCAGCCATCAACGAGTATGACGTTGTGAAGAGATGAACAGTCAAAATACCGCCACATGCACAGCATTCCTATCTCAAACAAAGAGGAATGTGGAGGCAAGACAAGTAGAGGACCCCTAAATCCCTCAACCACAAACTTAAGGGCCTTGTATTCATGTGGCACCAGTAAAACCCCTTGGTGGCATTTGCAGAGGTTGTGCGGGGCTACCATACAGCGACCTGGAAGCAGCTAAACCCAAAACGCACGTATGTAGGGTTGGGGTTTCGGGTTTAGGGTTTAGGGCTAGGGTTTATGGTTTAGGGTTTCGGGTTCAGGGTGGATCGGGGGGAAATGGGAATAGATTGTCTGATGATATTTGGCAGTCTGGATGACATTTCCTTTGTTGCGAAGCCAGTCCGCGTGCCGGTAACACAGGTGCAGGGAGCACAGAGCCCAACATTGCTTAATTAAGGAATATACCTTAAATCATATAGGGATCCTGAATTATGATTTAAGGTATATTCCTTAATTAAGCAATATTGGGCTCTTTGGGGGGAACACAGCATCGGAAAGTGCGTCGTGATAGCTGGGTTTAGAGACTCTTACTTGACATGGGCTGTTAAACGAAGCGCTCCTCGCACTTTACCCTAAAAATGCCCCTAAACCCCAAACCCTAAACCCTAAACCCCAAACCCCAAACCCCAGACCCTAAACCCTAAACCCTAAACCCGGCTTGTCCTTGTAAGGATCTTTGGCTGGTGCACGACGACACGATGGACAGGCTCCGGGCGGAGCCCCGGTTCGTGGCCGCGTCACAGCGAGTGGCTGAGGCCAGCGGAGACCTTCCAAAACCCCTTCATGAAGGAATATACTACTAAGTTGCACGAAGGATCATTACTATGAAATAGTGGTATACTCCTGAATTACCCTAGTGGTATATTCCTGAATTACGAGGTTCTGGAAGATCATGGAGGTTTCCTGGAGCAACCCTACACCTTGAGCTCATCTTGCTATGCATTCATCTTGATTTTTTCGCGAGTATCTTCAATGGTTGATTTGCCACATCGTGGAAAATCTCTGACAGTGAGTGGGCTGCCACGGGGCAACTTGTAGTAGGCATTGTGGGATTCCAAACGATCAACGTACTAACCCCTCCCCAAACAATCAAACACATACTTGCTGGTAAGGGCAATATATGGATTATGTATAACCCTTCCTTGGGGTTCTGAAGCAAATACTAGTCACTTCCTTATCAGGCCAATATGTGAATCGTGAATAACTCTTCCTTTGGGTTCTGAAGCAAATAGTAGTCACGTCGCTTGCAGCCATACAGTATTGGCCTGCTTTTAGGGTTTACCCCTAAACCCTAAGCCCTAAACCCTAAGTACCGGCTTGCTTGCCGAACGTTGTTCGAGGTTGGGGGGGGGTGGGCAGATCGGAGCTGGCCAATCGAATCCCTAAGAATGGCGGACTTTTCTCAGGTTTTAGGGTTTAGGGTTTTAGGGTTTAAAGGGTTTAGGGTTTAGGGTTAGGGTTTCGAGCCACTGCAAGGCCGCCAGCCAGCAGTGCCTCCAGACTGCAGACAGGTGGCCCTGCAAGCCCAGTTTGGGGGGGGTTTAGGGTATTGAGGTTTAGGGTTTCTGGCTTGGGGGTCCGCCCCTGCAACGCGGGAGCCAGTTCTATAACGTTTGACCGCAACGCCGTGCTTATGCATGCATGACCATGAGGCTTGGAACCAACACCTTGGGATGTTCCCCCTTAGGCTAACAGTCCTTCATGGGGATTCTAGTACCCCTAGGAGAGTCCCTCTTCAGGCCTGCTAGTATCAGGGGGAACATCCCAACCAACACCTTACATAAGGGAAAGGAGGTGTAGGAGGTCTCTTGGAGCGGGGGGGGGGAGGGGTGAAGCCAATTTTCGGGAGCCTTTTGGGGACTACTGAGGAGAATGAGAGAATGTTAAAGTTCATGGAACCCCCAAGAACACCGCTCAAGACTCAAGACCCAGCCTTCCAGACGTTTCGAGGCGAGTACAGCGCGAGCGAAACGGCAGAGCAGGGCGTTTGCGACCTTCTTTGCCACGAGTTCACCACACTGGAGGAGGCACCGCTACCCTCAACCCTCAACCCTCAACCCTCAACCCTCAACCCTCAACCCTCAACCCTAAACCCACACTCCACACCCATCATTTAAGCTGCAGTCGACTAGCATTGGGTGGCCCAGAGCCGAAGAACCAAGCCCAAAGTTAGTTCACCCCCGAAACCTCGGACCCAGAACAGACCCTTGCTCCCTGTTTCTTAGGGTTTGGGTTCCCGCCTTTGATTCCGTGGGTCTAGAAATCCTTTTATAACCGTGTCCGTCGCCTCAGAGAGCCTCAGCAGAGTCGACCCTAGGCCCAGAGGGCCTGCGACGTCCGCCCGAGCTGCACAAAGGCCATGGGACGGAAGGATTTGGGAGGCTGGGTGTTCTGGGCTTCGGGCTTAAGGCTTCGGTCTGAGGGCTTAGGGCTGAGGGCTTAGGGCTTAGGGTTTAGCTTACAGCAAGGCTCTTGAAGTAAGAGTGGCTTGGGTCGAAGACCATCAGCTGAAGTTGTCACCAATGAATGTCAAGAAAGCCGTCTGTGCGTTTTTGTTGAAGTACCTTTTCTTTCCAGCACGACCTGAGTATAGCCCCCTTAGGAATGTATCTGTTTATTTGTCTCTTCTATATGATAAAGCCCAAGGGAGTAGTAAAGATTGTATCGAGGACCAGAGTAGGCCGCTATTCCCCCCTTCTTAGTGTCTGGGTTCCCTTATAAGCCCCTTCACACCAAAAAGGATACCCTTTTTATTCCTAGGAACCTCTTGGGTTGTATTTGTTGCTTGTATTTCTATAAAACCCAAGGGACTATTCAACCCTAAACCCAAAACTCTTATCAAGGTTCTACGGGAAGTATCGCGAATGCCTGGAAGCAACCCTGGACTAAATCCCTGCGCGCCCAAGCACAGACCCACCCCCGAACGACGCCCAAGCCCGGTTTCGGGTTTAGGGTTTAGGGTTTAGGGTGTCCTTAGTAGGGATTATAATTCTATTAAGGACTGGTTAGTATAAGGGGGAACATCCCAAGTTTAGGGTTAGGGGTTTGGGGATATCCGCGGGTTGCATGAGTTAGGTGGGGTTGATCTGAATTATGATCTGAAGCAAAAAAATTTGTTATTTTTGTAGGAGCCGCCGTTAGAGTGCCTTCTCTAGTACCTTCCGTACAGTTTAGGGCACCAACAAAGGTCATGCAATATCCAACCACGCCTCTTTCTCGAATCACCCTCAACCTTAACCCAAAACTGCCCTGAACCCTAGACCTCTGACAGATCCCTTAGGGCACGTAAAGCCATAAACCCTGCAAACCGAAAACCCAAAGCTCTCAAATTTAGACTTCACACACCTGGACCCAGACCCCAACTACTAAACCCCAGCTCAAGAATGGGTTTAGGGTTTAGGGCTAGGGTTTAGGATCTAAACCCTAAGCCCTAAGCCCTAAGCCCTAAACCCCTTCAGGTCTTGCCGCGGGGCGATGGTTTCGAGCTCCGGGGCGGCTCGGCCCCGGGATCGGCGCAGGCACGCGGTTGGGGTTTGAGGTTTAGGGTTTAGGGCGTAGGGCTTAGGGTTTAGGGTTTAGGGTTTAGGGTTAAACCAAATTTCGGGTTTGGTAGAGTTCCTTCCCAAGAAGTTTGAGGTCGGTATCTCAATGATAGCTCTGTCAAAAGTTCTTTGTTGCCGGTCATCTGTCATTGTCGGTTGAGGCAGGCAGTAACCCTGAACTCCTAAGCCCTAAACCCTAAACCCTAAACCCTAAACTTCCTTGGTTCCTCAGGTCTTCGCCTACCTCAAGCTGGCATGCAAGATGACATGAAAGCCAGCAAGCCGCACAAGCCAGGAAAACAGAATGTGGCAGCTTTGCAGGGTTCAGGGTTCAGGGTTCAGGGTTCAGGGTTTAGGGTTTAGGGTTTAGGGTTTAGGGTTTAGGGTTTAGTAAAGGGTTTAGGGCTAGCCTCAAGCATGGCTAGTCCTCTGGCTGGCCCTCTCCGAGACACACCCAGAGCACCTTTTGGCCTCTGGGTGTGAACAGTTCTCAGGAGTACCCCTACGCCCTAAACCCTGAACCCTAAACCCTAAACCCTGAACCCTAAACCCTAATCCCTAGACCCTAAACCCTAAACCCTAAACCCTAAACCCTAAATCTTTTTTCCATACTTCCATCTACGACTTGCTTAAGAACCCCGCAAAAGTACAAGGTTAATGTAGTTTTTTTGGGTTCTTAAGCAAACAGTAGTCCCTTAGTAGCTGAGTAGGTAACTGTTAACCTTTTGGTATATATACTCCTACCACAATGCCAAGGTCGACCTTTGTTGGCCTAGGGTAACTCAGCAACTGAAGAAGGCCTTTGATGCAGGGAAGTTGCTGCGACAACCAGGTTCAAGCATGTTTCTGTAGCAACTGTAGCGCATGGAAGACCACTCATACCTCCTAATGTTTGCAAGAAAGGTCACGGCATGATTCGAGGTGCACTGACCCAGTTCAGTCGTTTGCCAGACGCCTAGCAGAAGCACAGCAAATAAAACACAAGCGTCAGCAAGAGGGCCTCCGCTACGCTTGGCTGGCCTGTGGGCGGCCTGGCACCCAGATGCACAAGAGCATGCTAAACCCTAAACCCTAAACCCTAAACCCTAAACCCTAAACCCTAAACCCTAAACCCTGCGTTCATGGCTTGAAGGCATTATAGCCACCCTGAACCCTAGACACTCCCCCCCCCCCCCCCCTAAACCCTAGACCCTAAGCTGAACCTTAAACACTAAATCACTATGTTTTAATACAATACCAGTGCCAACAGATCCACCAACAACCGTTGCCGCTTTAGCAACGGTTGAAAATGCAATACCTTTTATTTTCTTTCAGCAACCCAGCAGGAATTTACTTTTCAACGCTTTTATTTTGGATTTAAGCCCCAAACCCTAAGGACGAGTCCATTGTAATATGGAGTTCCTTGATGTGGAGGTTAGTACGAAGGGAAAAGGGCGTTGTTAGTCGGCAAAAAAATAGGTTAGGTTTAGGGTTGGGGGTTTAGGGTTTAGGGCTTAGCGATTGCGGTTTAGGTATCGGTAAAAGCTTCTAGGTTAGGGCTTAGGGTTTAGGATTTTAAGGTTTTTAGGTTGGGCCCTTGGGATATTCTTTATTTTCTCTTATTGTGTCTATGAGGATAGTACTAGGGAATATGTTCAGGGGGTTTTTAGGGGCCATCCAAACCACAATGTTGGCAGGTCTAGGAGCAATAACAGTAGCAGCAATCTTCATTATAGTATTCAATGCGTGAGAAGCCATTCTTACTTAGCAATACGGATGACAGCAGCAGTATTATTCATGACGCAGGTGTAAATGGTGGTGGTGGTAACGGAAGAGAGGGAGTACTTGGAGGTTCAATTTGTAGTTATATGTGGGGTGATAAGCATCGTAACTATTGTTCTAGGCCCCATTTAAGGTACTTACAAACCTAAGTATGACTACTCATGAACCTCCAAGCACCTTAAGAACCAAAAGCCTGGTTTTGTTTGGGTTCCCAAGAATTCTATACTAAGGACCTACCAAACAAGTGGGTTCTGTTTCTTACCCAACGAGCCCAATATCCCTGAACCCTAAACCCTAAACCCTAAACCCTAAACCCTAAACCCTAAACCCTAAACCCTAAACCCTAAACCCTAAACCCTAAACCCTAAACCCTAAACCCTAAACCCTAAACCCTAAACCCTAAACCCTAAGCAGCTCTTCCTGGAAAATGTCGAGGTTCAGACCATGCCGACCGGGACCGTCTCGAACTGGAACTTTCCGAAGCCGCTCCGTTTAGGGTTTAGGGTTTAGGGTTTATGGGTTTAGGGTTTAGGGTTTAGGGTTTAGGGTTTAGGGTTTAGGGTTCTCCGCTCGATTTTGGCTGCTAGGAGTTGAGACGTTCGGCTTGGTCTGGCTGGTTCCTAGTAGGGAATGAGGGACTGCATCTGTGAAGAGCTTGTGTTGGGGGTCGTTTGTGGCACTTTGGGGCGTGCCTCAGCGGATGTGGTCTCCTGCAGCTTGTGGCTCACTTGGTATGCTTGTTGTGGTTGCGTGATATTGAGGCTGCCACGGTGCTCCTGGGTTTGGGCATTTGAGTTATGTTTGTTGCCGGTTTCGGGGTATGTGGGGATTGCTTGGAGGGCTTCGAAGGTTATGGCCAAAGTTGCCCTACTTATCACCCTACTTCTAAGTACCCATGAACCTCCAAGCAGGGTAGTTGAGGTCTCAAGGCGCCTCTAGCCCCTTAGACCCCGATCTGTATTGGCTTTCTTGGCACCCTCCACCCCTCTGAGTTTTGGGTTTAGGGGTTTCACCCCTGTCAGTTCTCTAAAGTGTCTGAACCCTAAACTGATTTCATATGAGACATTTGGAGTACCTCAAGAGTGACTTCACAATTCAGAGGGCGCACCCCCCCCCCCTGACCCAAACCCGAAAGCTCCAAAACCTGAAAAACCCTAAGCCCTAAACCTCAAAGACTCTCAAAAAACCCAAACCCCCAAAGCTTGGCCAACCCTGAACCCGAAGCCCGAAACCTTAAACAAAACCCTAAGCCCTGAACCCTGAACCCGATCCCTATACCCTAAACCCTGAGCCCCTTTACACTATACCCTAAACCCTTAAACCCTTAAACCCTTAAACCCTTAAACCCTTAAACCCTTAAACCCTTAAACCCTTAAACCCTTAAACCCTTAAACCCTTAAACCCTTAAACCCTTGAACCCTTGAACCCTTGAACCCTTAAACCCTTAAACCCTTAAACCCTTAAACCCTTAAACCCTTAAACCTTAAACCCTTAAACCCTTAAACCCTTGAACCCCTGAACCCCTGAACCCTGAACCCTGAACCCTAAACCCTAAACCCTAAACCCTAAACCCTAAACCCTAAACCCTAAACCCTGAGGCCAGGCAGGCGCAATTCGGAAGGCTTTGGTTTCGTGAAGGCCTGGGCCTGCTTTGGATACGTCCTTGACGTTGTCTAGGGATTAGGGTTTAGGGTTTAGGGTTTAGGGTTTAGGGTCCCCGGCTTGGGTTGTTTTGAGGTTTTTTGGTTTGGAGCGTGAACTTTGGATAGCCTGATCCCCCTTCCTACGATGAAGGCATCGTGTTTCAGAGCTTGCCGCCTGGGATGCTTGGGTTTAGGGTTTAGGGTTTAGGGTTTAGGGTTTAGGGTTTAGGGTTTAGGGTTTAGGGTTTAGGGTTTAGGGTTTAGGGTTTAGGGTTTAGGGCTAAGCCCAAGCGTTGAGATGAGGTCCCCAAATTCCCTAAACTCATAGGACTCTTCCTTGGACCCGTAAGGTTGTACCCTTGGGGTTTGGGGCCCTTTGAAAGATTTGAAATTTGTCTAGCGGAATATAAGGTCCACACCAGGAGTCCATTATGGGAAGCCTCGTAGGGAAGTCCTTCGGGGCCCGAGTAAGACTCCCTTGATAAACCCCCCCCCCACTTTGACATGCCGTGACTGCCGTAAGCAAAGCCCTGAAGGGACAGATTATGGTTGTTATGGTTCCCTGAGAGCCCAATACCCTTTAGTTTAAGACATATCCCTTAACACATATAGAGATCCTTCATATGCTGTAAGGTCTATTCCTTGACAAGGGGTATTGGGCCTGTGGGTTGTTGTGGTTCAATCCTTACCATTGCTCGTGATCAAAAACACTAGTAGTCCTACCATGGTCATTTCTGCTTATTCTTATTGCTGCAGCTATGGCCACTCTCATGGGTTTAGGGTTTAGGGTTTAGGGTTTAGGGTTTAGGGTTTAGGGTTTAGGGTTTAGGGTTTAGGGTTTAGGGTCTAGTGTTTAGGGTTCAGGGTTCAGGGTTTAGGGTTTAGGGTCTAGGGTCTCATCAACTACGATTCTGAATTGCCCTAGGATGCTCACCCAGCTCCGCTAGCACTAGCACGGCCTCCACGGAAAAGCCCACCCCCCCCCCCCCCCCCACCTCTTAGTTTTGGGGCTGTAAGGAGGCCAAAACCCACTCAACACGCCGACCCCGAAACCCTAAACCCTAAAACCCTCAACACCTACCTCGTAACGACTTCGGTACCGCACGCTCTGTCCCTGAACTTAGGGTTTAGGATTTAGAGTTTAGAATTTCGGGTTTAGGGTTTAGGGTTTGGGGTGTAGGGTGGGTGTTTCAAGGCCTTCCCTAATCCCCTGAGCCCGAGGCCTTAAAGCCAATAAACCCCCGAGACCTCGAGAATCTGCATGGTTCAAGTAGGTGGACGGAGATCGGGATAGCGGTGGAGATCTTTTCCTCTATGCCGACAGTATTAAGGAGACTGATGCGTGCGTGGAGGGTGGGGGGAGGGGGGGGTAGATCTAAGCAACTAAACCCTAAACCCTGCACCCTTTTTTTGGGCCTGTCTTGTGTCACCTTCCTTATAACATATATCAAAGGGGGCCAGTGAATTTGAACATGAGATCAAGGGGGAGTCCAGTGGCCCTTATTCAAGTATGCGGCCGTTTCCCATACAGCACAGGACATTGGCCCCATGGAGCAATTATCCATGACGCCGCCACCTAGAGAATGTGTGTTAAGTAGCCCTGCCAGCATGTTGCAGTGGAAAGCACAAGCGTTCAATCCTAAACCCTAAGCTCTGAACCCTAAAGTTCTAAAGCGCACAGTGTATGTGTATTGATTTTTGTGAATAGTTAAATAAGTTAAATTGCTAAAAACCGAGAAAAATGGAACATGTTACAGTTTATATGTTTTTACTAAATTTAGTTGCCCGGGAATTAAACTCATGAAACTACTTAAATTAAGCTCTGTTATTGAAGTAGTTAACGAAATCAAATTAAACTCCAAAAACTGATTCAATTCATTAAAGCCGACGACTGCGAAAAATATTGTCAATAATTTCAGTAATTTATTTGAGGAGTTTGATGAGTTGAATTCATTTGATGAATTTAATTCATTTAATTGCCGGTCGATCAAAGCGTAAATATTTGAGTTCGAAGGATTGCAAATAATTTAAGCAAATTAGTTAAGTTAAATAAAATAGCAAAGTTACTTTTTTGAGGTGTTTCCTGAATATTTCATAATTGCCGGCCAACTAAATCCCATTAAAGTACTTAAGAGATTTTACAATTTTCTCCGAACTTGACTAACGTAATGAATGCAATTACCGGGCAATTAAAGTAATTAAACGAATTAGACTAGTTAAATAAACTAAGATACGTTTTGAGCTGTTTTTTCTGGATGTTTAATACGTAATTAGCTGACCAGTTGAATTGTTTAAATTAAGTAAATTCGAAGAAATGGCGTAATTAAATTACGTGAATGAATGCAATTATTTTTACTTTCTTCGAACTTACTTAATTCGTACCTGGATTTAATGTTTGCTGTGATACGGCGTAAAAGCTGCAAAGGTGGGCTGCAAAGTAGCTTCGAAAGCCTGGCAACATGCTAACGGCAGCTATGGCCTGACTGTGGATGTAGGGCTTGCTGTGTAGAAGCTGTAAAGGTCGAGCTGCAAAGTAGCTTCGAACCTTCCCCAAACTCCCTTTTGCGAGCCCAGATGGGGGGTTGGAAATATGGTTTTGGTGCACTTTAAGCAGGAAGCCGCCGAGCCAAGCCACGCCAAACCTGATGCTAGAGGCAGCAGCCGCCGCTTAAGAAACCTGGCCGAAAGTTGAAGACGGAGTTTTTGTCGGTCACACGGGCTTGCGTTTGGTGCCAGAAGACAAACCTGCCCACAGGCGTTCCGGGCCCTAGACCCTGCTCGGTGTTGGCATACCTGTTTATCTCGAGCTGTCGCGCTTAGTGAAAGCGAGTGCAGCGATTGTGACAAAGGCTCGATTACGACAACTTCACACTCGGATCATCCATGATCATCCTGAGTTGCAGAGAGCATGTCAACTTGCTACACCATGAACCCCTAAGCCATAGACACAAAAACTCAAACCCCAAGTCCTAGAGTCTTGTCCTGCCGAGGGACGCTCCGTGACACGACCCTGAGCATGCTTCTGAACGGGGGCGTTCCGCCGGAGCGAATCACCGTCTTCGCTGACCTTGGCGACCACGCCCAGCTCCTTGGCGACTTCGTACCGTTTCAAAGTCGCCGGCATGCTACATGATGCCGTGGTCCACAAGAAGACGCGCGTGAAAAGAGGCGGCAAGTGGATGTGGCTGAAGCCCACTTACGTCAAGATCTCCACTCACAAGTTACCGGATGGTCGAAAATTGAAGGTGAAGGCGGGCGCCCAGATTATCGATCGCGCATGGCGCTTCATCAAAGATCGTCTGAAGCGAAATCAGCAGGTGAAGGCCAACTCGTCGCTACTTGCCTCCCAAATTCGCAGTGCCCAGTATGAGTACTGGCGCCGCAACGATGATCTTCGGGAATGCACCGGTGATCTGGTGAAGGAGTACATGCGTGGGTTTGCGAAGAGACCCAACAAGTGATCTCCTCCTGTATCACAAGTGTCAATCTTGCAGGAAAGCATACCTCGACCTGAAAACAAGGAAAAAATATGCATCTGCTTCATGTCTTGCGAAACCCTGAGCCCTAAAATCCAACTTTAGTGTTCTAGGACGCCCCGATACGCTAGGCAGAACCGACTCGACGCTAAAAAGTCGGCCATAGTTTTGGGCAGGTCGAACATGGCCCTAAACCCTAAACCCCTAACCCCTAAACCCTAAACCCTAAACCCTAATGCCTAGCTGCCCGTGGTGGACATGACAAGCGGGTTGAGGCTTGAGGGTTTAGGATTTAGGTTTAGAGCTCAGAGTCTATATAGGTCAGGGTTTAGGGTCTAGGATTTAGGGTTTAGAGCTTATAGTCCATAGATTTTAGGGTTTAGGATTTAGGGCTAAGGTTTTTGGAGTCTTTAGCGTTCAGGGTTTAGGATTGAGGGTTTACAGCTTAAGAGTCGATAGATTTTAGGGTTTTTTCAGTTTTAGCATTTAGGGTTCAGAGTCTCTAGAGTTCAGGTGTTAGGGTTTAGGATGTAGGGTTTAGAGCTTAGAGTCTATAGAGTTCAGGGTTTAGGGTTGAGGATTTAGAGTTTAGAATCTGTAGAGTTTAGGATTTAGGGCTTAGAGTCTATAAAGTTCAGGGCAAGGGAGAGCTGCACAAGGCAATCAGGATGCGGGAAAGTCAGTCATGCTCCCGAGATTGTGGAGGCTGTGCCTAGATCATCGTCAATCCCAAGCATGATGGTTCACCTTCCTTAGACCTTAAGCCCGAAACGGCCAGCCCACCCTAAGCCTTAAACCCTAAACCCGAAACCGCCCCTGTCCACGGGAGGACCCAAAGCTACGTAGTGAGGCCAAGATCTTTGGCCTGAAGCCTCCCTCTCAGATGGCGCAGTGGTTCTGGCTTGGGTTCGGGGGTTCAGGGTTTAGGGTTCAGAGTTTCGGGTTTAGGGTTTACGGTTCAGGGTTCAGGGTTCTAAGTTCAGGGTTCAGGGTTCAGGGTTTAGGGTTCTAAGGCTCTAAACCCTAAGGTTTAGGTTTTAGGGTTTAGGGCAAAAGTTCTTTGAAGGGTTCTGAAGTTAGAAAGGTACACCCAAGACATCCGAGGGCGGGGTCCTCTGGTTTGGAGTTCGGGGGGCGCAAGAGGGCCAATAGTCTTGGGTTGCTGAGGTTGCTGTTGCAAAGAACTTAACTTACATAGTAGGGAGAGTATGGCATTTACTATGTTGATCCTGGCTAGAAAAGCCCCAAACCCTGCACCCGAAACCTATCCTGGCTATGGTCGCTGAAGGTATCCCTCCTCAAGAGCAACCCCGTAACGCTGAAAGGGAGCCCACGGGAAGGGGGCGTATTCGCGTTTAGGGTCATTAGGCTGTCAGATCTCGAAATTATGGTCCCTGTTTGGGGTACCCTAAAGAATCGGGGGCCGCCTTATTATAGTAACCCCAAAAGGGGCCAGAATTTCGAGAAGTGACCATAAAAACCTGTATATGTATATATCTCGACAGGACGCAGTGCCGCTTTCAGGAAGCATTTAAACTACAATTTGCTTAAGAACCCAAAAAAGCAGCATCCAACAATCCCAAAATTGCCCCTTTGAGGAAGAATACGTTTTCTTCTTCTTTTTTTTGGGGGGGGGATGGTTAAGCAACTAACCCTAAACCCTGGGGGAAATTCCTAAGTTAAGGGGTGTTGGTGCTTTTGGGGTGTCTAGGGTTTAGGGTTTAGGTGTGAGCTGCCGAGGAACCATCAGCGAATCAAGTTCGACATTGAGGCGCCAATCCGACTCCATGGTATGGGCTCGGTTTGGGGTTTAGGTGTTAGGGTTCAGGGTTCAGGGTTCAGGGTTCAGGGGTTTAGGGTTAGGGTTTAGGGGTTAGGGTTGCATCGCTGCGCCCCCAACCCTGGGCCCTACACGAACTCTTGATCCTAAACCCTAAACCCTAAACCCTAAACCCTAAACCCTAAACCCTAAACCCTAAACCCTAAACCCTAAACCCTATACGTGGCACTACCCTGCGAAGCCTGATGCCCAGAGGCCCCGAATGTCGCGTGAGAATCCTTTAGCCTGAAGGGTGTGTTTTATGGACTTGCAGGTTGATTTAATTGCAACAAAGTGCGGCAGCAAGGCTGTCTAGCTCCTGCTTCTACTTTGGTTTAGGTGTTTCTCTCTCTCTCTCTCTCTCTATCTCTATCTCTATCTCTATCTCTATCTCTATCTTTATCTCTATCTTTATCTCTATCTCTATCTCTATCTCTATCTCTATCTCTATCTCTCTCTCTACCTCTATCTCTCTCTCTCTCTCTCTCTCTCCCTCCCTCTAAATCCGGAAACGCAAACGCAAAACGCTGCAACCCCCGAACCCATGCCTCGAAGGAGCCGCTGAGCGCGCGCAAGAGCCGACTGGCCATCAATGCCGCGACCCCGGGAGATCGTCGCATCTTTAGGGTTTAGGGTTTAGGGTGTTGGGCCTTGTCTTACAAAGCAAAGCAGCCTTTAGGGTAGTATAGCGGCCTTGATAATTAGAATGTCTTTTCTTTCTTCTTTTTTTTTGTGTTGGGGGGAGGGGGGGGTGGTTACTATAGTGAAGTAAAGCCTTTTTTTAGGGACCAGAAGTGAACAGTATATTCCGGCCCCTGTAGTATATCGAGGGTTTAGGACTCAGGGTTGTGTGAGAGAGAGAGAGAGAGACTGACAGAGAGATGCTCAGAGAGAGCTGGGAAGGGCGAGCTTCGGAGAGGGCTCTGGGTTAGCCATGGTGGTTTAGGGTTTAGGGTGTAGGGTTTAGGGTTGAGGGTTGAGGGTTGAGGTAGGGTTTAGGGCCCATCCCTGGGGATATTCGTTGGGATGTTCGCCCCTTCTACTAAAACCTTCCTTCCTGTGCGTGCAGCGGTCGCTGGTCTTGTACTAACCCTATATTTCCTATTAAGGACTGTTAGTCTCAGGGGGAACATCCCAAGATATTCAGGCCCTTGACAGATTGTTTGCTCTCCATCTCCTCTGTCAGCTTCTGAGCCTGTAGTCGAAATTCCGAGGACCCAGAGTAGGGTTTAGGGTTTAGGGTTTAGGGTTTAGGGTTTAGGGTTTAGGGTTTAGGGTTTAGGGTTTAGGGTTTAGGGTTTAGGGTTTAGGGTTTAGGGTTTAGGGTTTAGGGTTTAGGGTTTAGGGTTAGGCCCTCAGTCCCCTTTCTCTGAAGGGCCTAGGTTCCGTAGAAGCCCTTTAAATCAAGATGGGCATCCTTTGTATTCCTAGGTTGCTCTTGGGTCTAGATTCCTTTCACTTTGAGTGCCTGGTTTTAGGACTCGTGGGCTTGCGGCCTTGGTGTGTGGAGCGAATTGCGCTCAGGTTATGCCATTGCGTGATGAGGCCGGCAGAAGAAGGGTTTGGGGTTTTCAGGGCTTCGGGTTTGGGGTTTACCAGGTTTAGGGTTTAGAGTCTGGGGTTTAGGGTTTCAGGTTCAGGTTAAGCTGACTGTTCGCCCCCACATAGGGTGGTTGAAGAGAGGATTCTCATGATGGGCCAGCAGCCAGCAGACTGCGACGGTGCATGTCATCAGCGGCGCCTTTTTCTCAACGGAGTACTTGTCTGTTCCCATGCCGTCAAAGACGGAGGGACCCTAAGCCCTCAGACCCTCAAGCCTCAACCCTACATAAACCATGCGACCTTCTCCCTCTTTGGGGACTCCCTTTGAACTTGGAGTTTCATGGGTACTGGTAAGTAGGGTTATATATGTACCCTAAGTAAGGTTAGAACCACAGTCACCCTACTTATAACCTCACGTACAAGTACCCATGAACCTTCAAGTCATCCTTTGTTTGAGGTGGTTGCGATTCCTTCATGCAAGAATGGCTGGAAGCTTTAGGGTTTGGGGCTTAGGGCTTTTAGATGCCCAGATCTTCCCAAACCCCTTAATAGTGATCCTTAGTAGAAATTCGGACTAATTAGGGTATACTCCTTAGCTAAGGGGGTTTGGAAGATCTGAGTGGGTGCATCAGCTGATGTCACTCTTTGGTGCCCTAGACTACAAGGAAAGTATCATCATCGACATCGCAAAGGGGCCTATGATCTTATATCAACGCACTTGGCCCTAAACCCTAAAGCGTACATGTTCTGAACCCCTTCAAACCTTGAACCTTGCAAGCCCTGCAAACAGGCCTATAAACCCTATATGAAACCTGTACACCAACTCTGTCTATGAAGCCTATGCATATAAACCCCAAACCCAAAAACCTGTGCCCATAACCTAAACTCGATGAACCCTCAACCCTAAACCAACCCTGCAAACACTATGAACTGCATAAACCGTAGAAACCCAATGAACCCTAAGTGTAAACCCTAAGCCCTAAACCCTAAACGCTAAACCCTAAACCCCAAACCCTAAACCCTAAACCCTAAACCCTAAACCGCCACCTGCACGCCCCAAGCCCGGGAGGACGACCGGCGCCCTCCTCGAGATCGCAGCCGCAGCCGAAGCCGGCGCAGGCTCCCGAAGGGCTTTAGGGTTTAGGGTTTAGGGTTTAGTTGGGGTTTAGGGTTTAGGGTTTAGGGTTTAGGGTTTAGGGTTTAGGGTTTAGGCTTTGGGTAGTGGGGAGTATTAGGGAACCTTGGGTTTCATACCCCCGCCTTGAACCCCCCTCTCCCTTAAGAACCTATAATAAACCCGAGTGGTTTTTTCACAGCTCGCTGCCTCAGGGCCCTGGCCCAGGGGGCAGGGGCCTGTTGAAGGCTGGTTCGAAATTAGGGTTATTTTTTTCTTTGGGGGAAGGGAGGGGGTTAGGGGGTTTAGGCTTAGGGTTGGGGGGTAGGGCACTATAATCCCTATTAAGGACCGCCAGAACAAGGGGCCTAAACCCTAAACCCTAAACCCGAACATCCCACTGTGGAGGGTTTGGGGCACCTGCTTGAACTCTGCAAATTCAGGTCGCCTAGCCCGCCAAGACGAAGGTGGGCCTTCATGTCAGTCACGGTTGTTTTTAGGGGGCTTAGG